CCCCAGCCCACCCCTATCTCTGCCCATGAATTAGAAACTTACCATTAACTACGAATAACATCATACCTTCACAAATTACCTTTTGTGAATAGACTTAGTTGTTAAGACCAAAACTAGAACTTGCACCATAGGAGACCAAATTGGATGAGTCTAATTAGTTTCTAAGGCTCCATGTTTGACTAAACCCTTGTTTAATACCAATTTTTCTTAAAAATACATTTTTCTCTCTTCTTTTCAATCACGCATTCTTCAATAAAATAATATTAAACTCAAATCCAAAATTTTTTCTTATTTTTTAACCGCGCATTTTCCATCAATCTAATATTAAAAAATGCATTCTTACTATAAAAATGGGTAACAAACAAGCTATAAATTATTTTTTGTATTGCCTATTTAAATGGATTTTGCTAATAACCTTTTTTCCAAGCTAATCTTTCTTTGCAGTATTTACATTGAGCTTTGTACTCTAGCTGTCCATCTACTACTGCACTCCTCACCACCAATTTGAAGTATTCTCAACACTTAATGGTTTTTTTTTTCGTCGTCTTTTACTTCTTGAACATATTGCCAGCGTTTCATCTTCTTTAATATCATTCAAATCAATTGAATTCGGGCTCCCATGGTCATAGTCCAAATCATCGGGAATTGGAACATCATTTAGATCACTAAAATTGTAATTTAATGGCAGAGCAAGGTAGTTTCTAGTATGTTGAAAGCACCAAACACTTTTTATTAAAGTCACCAATGTTCAACAATCTATTGCAATTCATTTGAAATAATATATATATAGAAGAAAAGATACAATATAATGTAATTTATATAAAAATTGGATAGAAATAGCTCAATTAAGAAAAAATAGAGATAATAAAACTCAAAATTTTACAATAAAAGAGTTAATATAAAGAATGGAAGATTTATATTATAGATTGAGAACGTAGAAAGACTTGTAATAGGTGATATATTTATAGTGAAACAAAACTTCCATTTAAAAAAAAAAATAATAATAATAATAACTCATATGACCATTGAGGCTAACCGTCATTATTAAAATGACCGTTTGGGTTGTCAAACGGTCATTAAATTAAAAAGGTCCACGTAGGTTCGTGAATTTTTTTGTGATATGTTATGTCCGTAGCTAGTTTTATACAAGGCTAAGTGGCCCCAGATGAGCTAGACAAGCCGAGCTTGCGAGCAGTTTGACCAGTTTGCAACCCTTGCTAAACTAAATCCTATAAACTTGTACGACTTGTCTCAAGTAATCATCTATTTGTCTAATAATGAATCGAAAAGATAAATAGCATTGAAGCCATTGTTCATAGTATTAAAAATCTCTCTTTTTGTTTCCTTTTTTTTTTTTTAAGAAAATTAACGGGTACAATGAGTTCTGGTTCTGACAACAACTTGTATAAATGCCAGTGAGTTGTAAGTCAATTGTGTTCTTGTTATAATGGGTAAAAATTTCGAATGACAATAATAATGATTCGGGATGAAATAAAAATAAATGACCATTTCGATGGTCAAACGGTCATTAAATTAAAAATGGTCTACAGGTTCGTTTTTTTTTTTTTTGTGATCTATTAGATCCATAGCTAGTCTTTATGCAAGTTTGAGTGGCCAATTGATTGAGCTAGACAAGCGGAGCTAGCGAGCAGCTCGACCAATTTGTAACCCTTATTAAACCAAAAGGGTGATTAGCACGTAACGTCTCATCTCTTATCGTTATTGTGGAAAACGTTTTTATTTTTCATTTTTTGACATTTCACCCTTATTTACACCTTTCATTGCCCAAAAATGTAATTTTCATTTATTTTCTCAATTAAAAATTATAAAATGACTAATATACCATTCACTTTACATAAAACAAAAAGAAAAAAATTTAATTGCAATCATAATCCCAATTGTTTTTTAAAAAAACACTCATGAATCCAAAATAAATTATTAAAGGGTAATTAGCACATAATGTCCATACAATTCACGATTTTAGCGAAAAACGTTCCCACTTTTTTTTTTTTTTTTTCATTTTCACCCGTAATTACACATTTGATTGAGCAAACCATCATTTCTATCCATTTTTATCCAATTTCTCAATAGAGAACCGTGAAATGATGAATATATCATCATATTTAAATTAAAAAAGTTAAACAATTAATTAGAACCACATTCCTAATTTTTTTTAAAAAGTGCAAACAAGTCCCAAATAAACTATTAAAAAAATTAGAAATTAATTTTTTTTTTAAAAAAAAGTGCAAATGAATCCCAAATAAATTATTGAAAAATTAAATTTCTTTTTTTTTAATAATAAACTATATTCATCATTTCACAACTCTTTATTGAGAAATTGGATGAAAATGAATAGAAATAATGGTTTGAGCAATCAAATGTGTAATTACGGGTAAAAATGCCAAAAAAATGAAAGGTATTGACTTTTTCCGCTAACATAGTGAAAGATAGGGACAGTATATGCTAATTACCATTTTAATAATTTATTTGAGATTCATTTACGCTTTTTTTAAAAATTGGGACTATGATTGCAATTATTTTTTTCTTTTTCTTTTTGTTTTATTTAAAGAGAATAATATATTTGTCATTTCACAATTTTTAATTAAAAAATAGATGAAAACGACATTTGCACAAAGAAAAGTGAATAATGGTGAAAATGTCAAAAAATAAAATGTAATTTCTAGTATGTTAAAAGCACCAAACACTTTTGTTTTATGTCACCAATGTCCAACAATCTATTGCAATTCATTTGAAATAATATATATAGAAGAAAAGATACAATGTAATGTAATTTATATAAAAATTGGTTAGAAATAGCTCAATTAAGAAAAAACAGAGATAATAAAACTCACAATAAAAGAGTTAATATAAAGAATGTAAGAATTATATAAAAGTATATGATAAAAATACGGATGGAATTTTAAAAACTTCTCTATGAAAATTTATTCACCACAGTTAGTTTGCTGAAAGTTTAACTTTGTAGATTCTTAATCCAATTTGTTTTAAGAAAAACTTTTTCCCAGGGTTGGGAGCTGGTAGCAAGAAATTTTTACTTACATAAATAGTCATGAATATTTTAGTTCAAAAGGATCTTCAAGAGCCAAATTATACTAGTACAAAAGTGTAATATAATCACAATTCGAATAGTGCTAGCTCAGCTCCAAATTTTCCCTATGAAAAACATTCGATATCTTGCCTTGAAGTTTTTTGCACAGAGAAATTTGTTTTAAGGAAAATAAATTGAAAGCCAAATTCAGTTCAGATCATTGATTTTTTTTTGGACATTATGTATTATTTGATTTTCTATATTCTGTGGAACAAGGGCAAGAAAATAGACTCGTAGTTTGGCAATGCAGCAGCTACCAATTGTTGCAATGCCTTCTTCCGTTGGCCGTGGTAAACAAAATTCAACCGCACCCTACGCCATGATATAGACATCAACATTCACAAACTTGGTAGTTCACATGTTTAAACGAGAAATCAACCACAAAAGGAAAGAGCAAGCATTTGTGAATCTATCCATAGTGTGGAGTTTCATAATATTTTTTGTTCAATTTTTTCTTGAAACATCGGTTAGAATTAGAGGAATCCAAAGTTGGACAGTTAGAATTAGAGATCGAATTTGAATTTCATAGAATATGTTGTTATCTTTTCTATGACTAATAGCATCCAAATAGTGGCCTTGAATTAGAGGAATTCACAAATTATTGCTAATCGGAGTGATTCTCTAGTGAATGAACAATGGAGAAAAATACAATCTTGAAAACAATGTACGAGATGAGAGACAAATTAAGGGGCACAGAACGATTACTTGTAACTTATTCTGTGAATTTGCTTCTTATACGAACACTTTCACGAACCAATTACTTGTAATTTTTTTCACAAAATCAGGTTCTCACCATCACTTTAAACCAGGATAAAACGATATTATTTTGAGAAATTAGGTGTGTTTTGGATGGGTCTTGCGACAAATTTTGGGCCAGATTATTATTATTATTTTTTTTCAATGAGCCCCCTGTAAATCAGAGGCACTAGGCGGCTACCTAGTTAGCCTTGGCCCAAGGCCGGCCATGTCCACGGATTGACCTAGATAGGCCGAGCTAGCGAGCAGCTCGACCAGTTTGCAACCCTTACTAAAGTAAATCCTATAAACTTGCACAACATGTCTCAAATAATCATCTCTTTGTCCAATATTGACTCGAAAAAGATAAATAGCATCGAAGCCATTGTTCAAAGTATTAAATCTCTCTCTCTCGGAAAATGAACCGGTACAATGAGTTCTGGTTCTAACAACAACCGGTCTTCTTGCTATAATGGGTAAAAAAATCAAATGACAATAATAATGATTCGAGATAAATTAATTTCAAGTCTGTCTACCTCTCTATGTTGAATAATATAAATAAATGGCATTGAATAAAACAGAAAGATTCTTCATTGTTGAGAAGAAAATGGAAGTAAATCAGTCATAAAAAATATCCCTTTTAAAAAGGAAAACGACCCCTCTAATAAAATAATTCAGACAACTGATAGACTAAGGAAAGTTCAATCTAAGAAAAAGAATCAATTAATTACCCATTTTGATGACTTTTTTTCCATTAATAAACCTTTACATTCCAACCATAAATCAATCTCCAAAGTGCTAACAATTCCACGCCAATGAAAATAGACATGTTGGTTTTTTTCATTTTGTTCGGATTGGCAAATGGAGGAATGCAAGAAAGATTTTCTCGAAAATTGATCGATTTTCGAACAATTTATGTCGATCCATCGAACTTGAAAAGTTTTCACACCATTCAATCTGCCATTAACTCTGTGCCTTCGAACAATAATCACTGGATTTGCATCTCTATTAAAGCCGGCACATACAAGTATGTCTCTATCGTATATATAAATACGAGCATGCACGCTACATATCGTTTACACCTAAATATAATGGCACGATTACAATTTATTGTTCATATCGACTATGCATGAGTTTCTTTACGAAGTTTGCATTCGACTATTATTTTTTATCTTTAATCAATGTGGAATTTTTACATAGTGAACGGATTACAATACCACCAGAGAAGCCATACATTTACCTCAAAGGAGAAGGAATCGGCAAAACCAATGTTGTGTCGGGTTCCAATGACTCCATCGTGACTTCCGCGACTTTCTTCTCTAACGCTAACAATATTTTCGTCTCTGACATTACCTTTGTGGTAAGAATTTTCAAAATTATCAAAATAAAATTTCATTTTTTAGCATTTCTTTTTGAACTAAAGGAGGCCTTAAGGCCTTGTCAATAAAACCATTTATTTTTATTTTTTCATTTGCAGAATTCTTATAATTATCCCTTTAAGAAGAATGGTAATATCAAATCGCCGGCGGTGGTGGCTAGGATTTCCGGTGATAAATCAGCCTTCTACCGGTGTAGTTTTTTAGGGTTGCAGGATACATTGTTGGACGAGAAGGGGAGACACTACTTTAAGCTTTGTACCATTGAAGGAGCCATTGATTTCGTATTTGGCGGTGGTCAATCCATTTATGAGGTATTTAAATTTTTAAAAAATTAAATTATTAACTTTTCTAGTCCAAGTTACTAGACAACAGTTACATAATATTAAATATTAATAGACGATTGTGCTTTCTTTTGACAATAATAAAATAATAAAATTAGTTTTAATTTCATTAATATAAAAATATATAGAAAACTGATTCCATTTTATTTTCTTTTCCTCAAATCATACACATAATTTTGGAAAATTTTATTTCGTTGGTAACCATTTTTTTTTCTTTAATTATTAATTTGAATACAGGAATGCACCTTATCATTCAATGGAGAAGCCCTAGATCCGGGTACTATAGGTTTCATAACAGCACAAGGAAGAGACGATCCAAAGGATACAGGTGGATTTGTATTCAAGAACTGCAATGTAATTGGAACGGGAAAGGCATTTCTAGGAAGAGCATGGAAATCTTATTCCCGGGCTATAATTTACAACTCATTTCTCTCCGACATTATCATTTCTCGAGGATGGGACGCTTGGTACTATGTTGGTCACGAGTAAGATCTCTCTCTTTCTCTCTCTCTTCCCCTCCAATTGTGTTGACTCTATTGAATTCGACAATTAACTACAAAGAGAATCGTCTCCGTATAGAAAAATATGTTCCTTCATTTTCTTATAGCTCAAGCCATTAGATGAGACCACCTAGCCACCTAGGGACAATAATATTGTGCACATGTCAAGTGTTTGTCGGGAACAAAAGTTATTGCATATGTTGAAGGCTAAAAATATAGTAAATAAATGTCCACTTTTCAGATACCTTAGGGTGTGTCTGTCCAAGATTTTTTGGAGGATTTTCAGCACTTTTGAAACCGTTGGTACAGGATTTAGCCATCTTTTTGGACCAAATGTGAGGCATGTGGGGTCCAAGTGTTGACCTAAACGGTCAAAAAATAATGAAAAATTTGGCCAAAATCTTGGACAGACACACCCTTATTCTTATAGAGGAAATGGTTCAGCACTTTACAAGTCGATATTAAGAGTGAGTTGAGTTGACTTGATTTCACACACACACTCGACCTTTTATCCAGTCTAGCAGAAACTAATTGATTAATCTTATATGATTGTTGAAAACAGGAATCAGTTAACCTTCGCAGAGCATCAATGCCATGGGTCGGGATCTGACATGTCGAACCGAGTAAAGTGGGAAACAACACTAAGCCCACAAGAGTTGCAAGTATTTACAAGCATGTCTTACATTGATAATGAAGGGTGGATTGCAAACCTACCTCTCAACATCTTGGGTTGATCTTGCTAGTGTTGTTGCACACAGTTTCCTCGTATCATTGTTGTAACTTTAACTCTAAAATATAACAATAGCTAGAAAAGGAGTAGGAAACTTCACGTCTTGAGAGTACGTGCACATTTGGCAAAGTTTAAATTTTCTTTCGGCTGATCAAATATATTTTTATTCACACCTGGCAATACCCACAACTTACTACCCTATTACTTATCCACGCATTCTGACATTCCATAAGACTCATAGCTTAAAAGAACTTAAAATCATGATCACACAAGTTATAAAACGAATGATCACTTTAGTTAAGCTTACGAATATTGTTACAAATAATTAATAAATCATTTCTCATGATAAAATGGAACTCCGAATTATCCTCATCTAGTTGACTACATTTTGCATGTAAATTCGATGCCACGTGTGACAACAAATGTTTCCCCGAACGCAAAATGTGCAGAAAATGAATTTTCGACAAAAATCTCATACCTAGTGAAACATTGCTCAAATTCACAAGAAAGATGGCAATGCTGGTGCCCTTCCATTTATTGCAGTTACTGTAAGAGTGGGCAGCACAATAACTTCAAATATCACGAAACAAATAAACAATCAAGAATTCGATACATGAAGTAATCAATAGTTCCAGTTTCAATAATTGACCTCTTGATGTCGATTTTCTGCGTAGATTAATGAAAACAAGAAGAATCGCGTCTTGTGTTGGCCCGAGAATCTCAAAACTTGCATCCTAAAATAGCATCCAGAATGTGGCAAGATCTAATTTTTCTTCGATCTCCAAGCAACACAAGTGACGTCATTTTCAGTCTCAAACCCGGGGTTTTTTTTTCAGTTTTACAGACTTGNAATACACCCCAATGATTTCATAAAAATATAAACACAAATAGTTTATATAAAGTTTTCTTTATAGTCTGACTAATTATAAGCAAGAGAAATTAACAGTTCTTTTTCAAACGTGTTGTAGGTTCAGTGCCAAAACTAAGAATTGCAGGTGAGAATTTATGCTCAATTTTATCTTCTATTGTGACTGCGGAAAAAGTAATATTTTCTCGTTATGGCGAAAGAGAGTGAATTGAAAATTGAGAAATTCTTGGTGGATTACAAGGTACTCAAACCAACAAGATATTCGTATGCAGACATAAAAAGAATCACAGATAACCTTGAGGGGTTGCTCAATTGGTCAGACCTTGAGTTTGCTCTCCAATGGTCACCAGTTCGAGTCCCCTCAGTGCCACTGAGGTGAGTACCTGGCCATAAACTTCAGGGCCCGGTGGAATTAGTCGAGGTGCGCGTATACTGGCCCGGACATCCACGGTTATAAAAATAATAATAGTAATAATAATAATAAAAAGAATCATAGATAACTTGATCAAAAAACTTGATGAAGGAGGATATAGAACAGTTTACAAAGGAAAGTTGTCTAATGATATTTTTGTTGCGATCAAGATCATCAGTCATTCTAAAGGGAATGGCAAAGATTTCATCAATNAAAGAAAATCACAGATAACTATATCGAAAAACTTGGTGAAGGATATGGAACAGTTTACAAAGGAAAGTTGTATAATGATGTTTTTGTTGCGATCAAGATCCTCAATAATTCTAAAGGGAATGGCGAAGATTTCATTAATGAAGTGGGCACAATAGGTTGAATCCACTATGTCAATGTGGTTCGCCTGGTTGGATATTGTGCTGATAGTTTTAGACGAGCTCTTGTTTACTAGTTTCTGCCTAATGATTCACTTCAAAATTTATATCTTATGAAAAACGGAGGTGTAAGCTCGGGTGGGAGAAGTTGCATCGAATTGCAGTGGACATAGCCAAAGGAGTCGAGTATCTTCATCAAGGGTGCGAGCAAAGAATCCTTCATTTTGATATTAAACTAAACAACATCTTGCTGGATGACAACTTCAATCCAAAGATATCGGATTTTGGTTTAGCAAAATTGTGTTCCAAGGAG